AAAAATAAGAAGATAAGGTTGAGCTAACAATACCTCAATAGAATTCCTTCCTCTTGCTATTTAAATATCAAAACACAAATCAATCCACGATAAGATTATTTTGCAAACCAAATACTACTGAGCCTGAAATTTTCAGGTCGTGACTCAAAAACTGTAAAAGGATGATGCATGTTTTCACCAGCAAAATCACTGCTTTCACTTTAAACATGTGATTCACAAAATAGAATTCTGGATGATATCAGATTCTCTCTCAGAATTAACCAGGTCAAGAGAAAACAAGTAACTGATTGGAAACTAATACCATCCTCACTCTTTTCCTCTGTGCAGCTACACAAGGAAACATGCATCTATGTCTTTCATTGCCACCCACAACACAGTAACTGTCCCACATCTTAATACGGCTCAACTCATTAACAACCACCACAGTTACCCATTCATTTTCAAGTGTGCCTGATCTGGAATATCATTTACTTCCCCAAATGGTCTGTGAGACTATAATCATTGTTTCCATCTCTGCATCTGGAAGCACAGTTCCAAGCTCAAAGCACTCATTAAGATCTGTAATGAAAATCTGAAGCCCTGGAGTCCATTTGTCAGAGGCCCTTAAAAGGTATTTGGATCATCTGTATTTCTCTTGAAGAAAAATGGAGAAAATCCTTCCAGACTGTACTGAGACAGTGATAATTAGATCTCAGTTAACTTAGTTCAAACCCCAGGATCTCAAAATCCTGTAAAGTCTGAAAGGGAATACTTCTTAATGTTTCCATTGCTCCCTGTACAACAGATGTTTTCATAACTGGACTCAGTAACTGATTTCACAGACCAAATACTGCAGTTTGACTGTTCATACTGATTTGAACTTAATGAAATACCTTCTACATATTCACAGGGCATCATTATTAATTATCTAATGTTACAGTAGCAAGTAAAGATTCAACCTTATGCATACCTTTTAAAAGAAAATTTGGATGTAAGTATATTTGAAGTAAAATTATTTTACCAGCCAGGGATCATTCTTTTTTATTCCTGGTGCTGTGTGATTAAACTTTCTTATGTTTTACAAGCAGCTAACTGATGAATGCAATAATTCGTTAACTAATGAAAATTGTGCTTCAGAAGTGTCTTATTATGACTTCCCACACCTCCCACACACTTTTGGTCTCCAAAAGTACCACTTCCCTGCAGCTCTGGCTGCCTTCCTTGAAAACAGGTGGTACAAGGCAGCACATAGCTCAGGGACAACCAACATTAAGTTATTCTTGGAGTATCTTAAAACAAAACTACGTTAAATGAGGAAAAAACCTGAAGTTTCATTCTCATTGTGCCAGAGAATCATGAATAGAATTAGGAGGTTTAATCAAATTTGAGTGCTGCAACCTGTATGGAATTACAAATTTTTAATAAGTGTGTATAATATCATTTGTTTTACTTCAGTTACTATTCCCACTGGCATTCCAAAATGCCATGAAATACAAGATAGTCAACACTAAGCCATCACAATTGCTTTTGGCGATTGTCAGTTTTCTTCCGCTCACCCATTTCTTTGTTTTATATGCTGACTGTGCTCTCGAGAGAATATAAAATGCATTTTTATTTGTCTTTCTATCACTCTCCTGTAATATATTAGGAGACCACACCAAGAAATGGGACTAAAGCAGAAAAGAAGTTTGATCCTAGATTATGCTTGAAGTAAGTACTTTGGGGATTAGTGAGCTGCCTGTGGCTGTTAAGGCAAAAGGTGAGGAAGAATGGTGAACATCATTTAATGTTTCCCTTTGCAGATAGCAGTTGCAGAAAAACTAAATGCTCTGAGACTCTTCCTGACTTCTAGTAGGTTTTCAAGTTTTTCTTAAAACTTGAACTCAAAGCAAGACAACGTTGACTTTCTCCACTAGTCAGCCAAATAAGATTTTAATATCCTGGGTAATACGTAGTGGCATTTTTAACAGTCTTCCCATCCTTTGTTATGGCATGTTATTTTCTACAGTCATTAACTGAGAACAACATAAGGAAGCACAGGAAAAATATCTGCAAAGCTATCACTGCAGTAAGCTATTTGGACAATTTCTGTTGTTCATAGTTTTAGAACTGTGCAACTATGTCAACAGGAATTTTCTCTCATATGAAACCGACAGCTATGTCAAAATTTCAAGAGGGTTTCTTCAGCATTTTTAATGAAGAAGCTTTTCAGGAATTCAGAAACATTTCTTCAGATTTCTGATGAAAGAATTCAGCTCAAGGGAGAAGCTTGTCGTTTTCATTAAGAAAGGTCTCACTCCACTGTAAGTGTTATCTGCTGCTAGGCGTTCTTTCCCTTAAAGGTTTTCCTGTCTTGCTGTCGCACTAAAACCAGCGATGAACTCCACATCATTTTAACCTCACTGCAATGCTATGAACCAAGAATCTATCAAACTTTGGTATGGAAAAATGTGTTAAATTACTGCAGATGATGCTTTTGTATTACTGCATGTAATACCTGAACATTTAGAGCAGAAAGTGGGAAGCATTGTAAAAGCAGAATACTAATGGCTCAAATTTAGCGAATACTGAAAAGAGCATGAGCTTGGAGTGAAAGAACTGTATATTTATCTTATGAAAAACACAGCTATGACTAACTTTTTGAAGGGGTTTCAAAAGAGCACAGAAAAAGACATATTCAGAAATAAACAGCGGAATCTACTCAAGAAATGGTTCAGGAAAGTTATGGTCCTCTGGGAGATCTTCCTTAACCTGAGTTAACATTTCTAACAATTTATTAGTATAAACTGCAGTTCTTATTCCTGAAATTCAGACAACAGCCAGGATACCACAAACCCCTATGTGCAATACAACTTAATTTTGAAGTAATAAAATCCTCGAGTAATTGATAGAAGTGAGAGCACTCTATTGGTTCAAATTAAAACAGAAGACTCCCTATGGTTAAAATACAAAGTATCACATGAATTGTCAATTCTCAAAGCCAAAAAGTTAAAGTAAAAAAAAAAAAAAAAAAAAGAGCAACACAAAAAAGCTTACAGTCGTTAACACAATTTCAAAAGAGCACAGAAAAAGACATATTCAGAAATAAACAGCGGAATCTACTCAAGAAATGGTTCAGGAAAGTTATGGTCCTCTGGGAGATCTTCCTTAACCTGAGTTAACATTTCTAACAATTTATTAGTATAAACTGCAGTTCTTATTCCTGAAATTCAGACAACAGCCAGGATACCACAAACCCCTATGTGCAATACAACTTAATTTTGAAGTAATAAAATCCTCGAGTAATTGATAGAAGTGAGAGCACTCTATTGGTTCAAATTAAAACAGAAGACTCCCTATGGTTAAAATACAAAGTATCACATGAATTGTCAATTCTCAAAGCCAAAAAGTTAAAGTAAAAAAAAAAAAAAAAAAAAGCAGCAGCACAAAAATGCTTACAGTCGTTACACACATCCCCTTCAAAATCCTAAGTGTGTGTTTGCTTATTCAGATTTGGCCTATGAACACTTGATACATCTGACTCCATCCACCTTCAAGAACTGCACATCCCTAAAGTATATTGTATTCTAACTGGTTGACAAATGGAGAAAAGATTTGTAGCTAGATCAGGAATTCATTCTTTCAGTATCTACCACTTCTTGGACTTTAATTTGTTGGGCTTCCTCATTAGCTCCTGAGTAAGTTATTACTGAACGATACTTCAATAGTACTTGCTTCTTATCAGTGCCTGAAACAAACTGCTGGTAAATGGCCACATGTAAAATGCTGATCAATTGACCATTAACCATGGATAATAATAAAAAGACTTGAAGAGGCTGTGTGCAGCTTCAGAAGTATTTGAGGACCATTTGAAAGCCATAAAGAGCTGAGGATGATATTAAAGTATCAAAATCATAACCAATATTCAGTTGTTAGTAACTGCATTCCTAACTCAAGATATAAATATTATCATCATATCTCCTCTTGAAGAAATTGTTTGAGAAATTTATGATTTTTTTCATCTAGAACCAATAGCAGAAGAGCTACTTACATGACATACTGAGCAGCCTCAGTTACCCTTGACAGAACGCTCCAGCATAGTTTTTATTCTCACTGTATTGTTCTCCCCAGTAGTCAAACAGACCCATTTCACACCAACAAAAATCGGTAGACTATCTGACACTTTCCCATGGTATTATGCAAACAGTTTAAAGAGCGTGCATTCACACATTCGACCCTTTGAAAACTAACTTACATCATTCACTAATGACAGTAACAATGCAGTTTAATTGTATATAACTTGGGGGGATGCTTCTTAGATTACACAACACAACTTTAAATACTAATTAAATATATTATATTAACTAATATTTAAAGACTTTTCTTTTTTCTTAAAAGAGAGCTGTGTATAGTATTAAAACAAACAAACAAAAACAGTGAAAGCAAAGACTAAGTACACAAACACAAGAACTTTGAAAAGAACAATGGTTTCAACCCACATATTCCAGAATCATGACGGTAGGCAGGCATATTACAGAGTTGTGATTTTGTGATTCAACTGCATTATTCTAATTGTTACATTCTAAGTACTGGTAGAGGATTTTCATTTAGCAGAGAGATACAAGCAAGTAAATTTTTGTTACACAACAAACCCTCCATATCTGGGATATCTAAAAGAACCTGATAACTTACAGTTCCTGAAGCTAGGAACATTAATGCAAATGAGCGTGATTTTAGGATTAGAACCTGAATTTAAATTTAATTATAATTTAATTTGAAGAAAACTCGCATCTGTCTGCAACGTACCCTGCACTTTTGAGGGGTATTATTACAAAAGGTTCGCTCCCCTCATGCTGTAAAGTGAGGGAGGAGCAATTCTTGTAATAGACTGCTATGCTTAATAAAAACATATGTTTTAAATCATCTTCCTGCTATAAAACCATTACATGAATTCCATGGTACTGCACAAAGCATAACAGAGACTGCCATTGCACTGTTTTAAACTTAATAAAAGCACAATACAAAGTAAAAGGAGAACGCACCTTTCATTTGTGTTCCAAAGGTAAGCGACAATTTTGCAAACAGTTCTGGGTTTTCAAATTTATCTTCTTCAACTTTTATCCAAAAGCTGTTTTCTGCTATCTCTTGAGGCTCAATCTGAAACAAAAATGGCATCCCCAAAGTTAATAACTAGTATTTTCAACAGCCAAGTTAAAGCCAATGCTACTAGACTTTTGTGATAATTGGACTGAATTAAGTTTAGGTATGTTCCAGGCATTATGTTCTCGTAAAGATGCTTCCTGAACAAAGCACAATCAGATGAACTGCCTTCTATCTCCACAATGATTTTTATTATATTTCTCACATTCATCAAGTTTTCCAAATAGGCTTGATAACACATTAGCATCTGGGTTTGAAAGTGTTCTAGCTTTCTCTTGATTACTTTCCAGACAGTTCCCAAATTCTTCACCACTGACATGCATCCCTGCTACTTGAGAACTGCAGAAGGAATAGTCTTTCTTGCACTGCCAGAGTATGGAATACCTTATATGCAAATGATATGTCAATGTGGACCTTTCAGTGACTCAATATTAAGTCCGTAGGAAGAATTATCTTTTTAAATATCAGAAATAATTTTATACTTAATATAATTTTTAATAGTTTCCATTTTTCAAATGTAAACGCAGATTTCATTACAGTACCTTATTTGATACTGGCTTATTAAAAGAAGAAAGTACTCTGCAATATAGAAGCTGAAAGCCAATTTTACTCTTCATGTATGATTCAGAACAGCTACTTTGTTTTCAAAATATGTCCCTCTTCCAGTTTTTAAAGTCTTATCAATTCTTGTTTACAAGCTTGTTTAAATGCCAATTAATTTTCAAGGGCTATTTAACTTCAAGAGGATATGCAGGAAATTTATCAATACTATATCTGTAAGCCTCACTAGGATTTCACTGCAACACGTTGGTCCTCCACCTTTAACCATATGATCAATCTGTTAATGTGTAGCTGCTTTACCACCAGCTGCAGCCAAGACATTCTTAAAAACTACCTTAATCCAACACTAATGGTGACGACAGTTATTACAAGAGGCACTAAATGAAATAGTAAGAATGTTATTCCCAAATGATGGCTCCTTAAAAGTGATGATCAAACAGACTTTCCTCTTTTTCAGTATGCAGGAGATCTTTGGCACTGTTCCCAGAGCACTTAAGCAGTGTCCACCTGTAGTTACTTTCTATTGTCACACACAGTGTTCAGATGTACACTCTATAAATTATCTCTATAAACACATGAACGTAATTGATTAAAATGAAATTGGCTGCAATAACAAATATGTATTATAAACTAAAAAGCTTATTTTTCTCTATGTTTACAGGACAGTAGTCTGAGTATGTTTCAGAGTTACAAAACTAGTGCAGCTGACTCTAGAATGAGATATTACCTTAACAAGGACAACTGAGATTAGAAAGCCTAAGTTACATATATGGCAGGAATTCTTCCCTGCTTAAGTGAGATGCCTAAATAAATGAAGAAGATAAATGAATTGTAGGAGAGAAACTATCCTAACCAGACAAAGCAGTGGCGAGTCAAAGATGAGCAGCAACTTCAGGAGAGAATGTTATTGTCAATGGCATAAAAATTTTCTTCCCCCCCTTAAGAAAACTGGCAAAATACAAATCTGTGATGAAACCTATAGGCTATGAGGAAAAAAGTCCAGATGGAAATACCCAAACAGGTACGAAGGGTTAATATAAAAATCTGGAAGTCAAAGATCATAAGAGAAGCTAACTAAAATAATAACCACAAAACATTTTCGTAAAAGCGCAGGTGGAAATGCATTTCTAAAACATTAGAGCTCCATCTCCAAAGGAGGAAAAATATTTAAAAAAAAAAAAAAATCCAGAAAATTGAATGATAGAAGCTTTGAAGAGAATAATCTTCTAAACAGAAAGAAGACAAGGACATTGAATGGCAAAATATCTTGAAGAGACAATAAACATTTCATAGGAGGGAAAGTGACTTTTTTTTTTTTTAGGTAAGCGTTTTAAAGGTTACAAAACTGTATAATTCAAATGATTCATCAGAGTACATGAACCAAAAGGACTTTTATATGGCTAGATGAATTTCAAAGGAAAAAACCAACCCCAAATCTCTGGATTCCAACACTGGGTAATGTCATATTCCTCAAAGTAATACATAAGCATCTTTTCCAGTATGACAACTCATACATTCCTGTTTCTTTTTAATAATACAACTAGGCTACTAAAAACAGTCCATTTTTTCTTCTAAAAAATATAATATATTGGTGTGGCTGGCAGGTTAAATATATTTTGTACAGATGTTTTTCTGGTAAAAGAAACTATAAATTGCCGTGCATTTCCACACAGGTTTTATCTCAACCTTCTAGATTCCTTCTTCCAAAGTTAGTGGGATTAATCATTCATGATACTGCTCTTATTTGTTACTCCAAAGAAAGAGCCATTTTACTATTCAACACTTCAGAACTTAGAGGAACACAAAACCTAAGCTTACTTTTTATTTAGAAAGACAATTAAGATCACTGATGCAAAATATCAGAGGACAGTCTAGGTCCTCTTCCAACAGTAAACTTCTGTCATTACTAGTTCTTGAAAGGTTTTGCTTTAAGTGGTGATGATACATATTCAGAAATGATACAAAGCAACGTACCTTGAATCCCCTGAAAAACCCCATGCGGAAAACTAGAATGACTTCCAAACACAGTCCAGTGCTGTTGCCCTAAACCCATCCACCTTTACATACACTCTTAAACCTGAAATCCCATTGTGTCTGACAGGGTAGATCAGCCATGTAAGAACTCGGAGGACATATGATCCTGTGTCCTGGCAATATTGTGAAAACAGTCTACAAAGGACTGTTATTGCTATGCAATGATGTGATGCATTTCAGAGGCTCCATATTGAAAAGGTAGAGCATCTTCAGCCAGAAGCAACACCTGATATCCCATGTCATCCAGCTCCATCCAGGACAACATGGTAACACCCAACTTTATAGAAAGATGTGTATCTACATCCATATGAATTTCCCAACAGTTTTACCAGCTGTGAAACATCCTGAAAAGAACCTGTGCTATTTTAGAGTGTGATTTAAATTACATGTTCAACAGTTGTTCAATGCTAAATTGCAACTTATGGTCAGCAATGACCATTTTAACCACTTAGCAGCTTACTTTCATCAACAACTTGATTTTACTAAGTCCTTGGTACCAACACACTATTGAGATAGAATACAGTTTTCAAGGAGAGTATCAGACACTAGCTGGTAGTACAAAGATTTAGTACCTTGACAAATAAGTAACAGATATCCAGTCAAACTATACTGAAGTCCAAGCTAGAGCTCAAACCAGATAGTATCTAATAAATAAAGGTCCTCCTTTGATTTGCCTTGATGATTTGGTGATCTATCTATTTTTTCCTACAGCAAACCTCAATACATCTATCATGTTTTACACCACTAAAAAACCGCCAACCACAAACTGTGTTTAAGATGTGACAGTTTAGTCTTAATGACAAGTGCAGTTATCTAGTACCTCAAATTTATTTCCTTTATATGGAAAGAACAGTGGCTATACTGATCAATAAAGGTATTTTAAAGCAACGTGTATGCAAACACACACCTGGATACTTGCATAACTTCTCTTGTCACAAAGTGACCAATTATACTGAGAGGCAAGTAATAACTAGTAACTGCTCTTACAGGTTAGTCTGCAAATCAGAGATTGTGCTTGCAGTTTACTGCTCAAGTAAATGTTTATATTTTAAGATGTTTTAAAAAGTGAAATTTGATTAAATTATCCGTGTTAAGACTGTGCAGAAGCTCACATTCGTTGGAATGTAATGGTGCCCAAACATTTCACTTGAGCAGTCCCATAGCTCCTCCCAGTGGCCACAAGCCTGCCCTAGCACATTACTAATATGAAACGACCAATAAACATCTCAGATTAATAACCTACAAGTACCATTATAGCACAGATACCAGCATTCTCTGAACTTACAACTACATTAGACATCACAAACTTAGAAGGTTTCTACATGAAATAGCATGTTGTTACCTGTGTTTTAAAACTATTCCTAATGGTTTGGATATACCTACGCAACTTAATGCAAAGCCACGAGTCACTGCACCTAATAGAATGGTGCCCCATCTTTTCATTTGGGTCATGACAGTCTTTCACTGTGCTTTGATACAGACCAACAGTACAAGCAACTCGCTGCAAAACTACGAAATTCAGTAAGCATTCACCCACCGACCATACTCCACATACCTCAGAGGAGTCACAGGTGTCCTCTCAGACCTGCCCTCAGGACAGGGCCAAAAGTGAAAGAAAACACAGCAGTCACCTACTGCCAGCTCCTGCTGTCATTACATAAATCCACTGAGCTTAGCACACATTCTGTGAAAGGTCTCATGGAAAGAAATCTCTCGCTCAGCAATATGCAACCCACAGACTTTTAAAAAAGAATTTGTATTGGAACTAAGTTAGCTTCCTGGGATACTCATCTGTCAAACAGGAAACACAAAGTTCTGTCAACAAGACTCTCATTTAAAAATTCATTATAGTGTACGGTATCAACTATATTTGTAAAGTAAAGGAGAGGGGAGGAACATCAACTTCACAACTCTATTAGAGCCATGACTTTAACTCAAGTTTAATATTAAACTACGTACTGCTAAATCAAATGCAGTTTGCAATTTTACACAAAACTAGATAGCTAAAAATGCACTCTAGTAAAAATTTCTTCAATGCTTATAATAAAAACTTATGTTCAATAACACCATTGCCTTTAGAACCTTCTGATAAGTTTTGCAACTGTCTTAACAGGGTAAACACCTGCCTTTCTCAGAGAAAGAAAAACACTGTCAAAGCGTGTTTTGTAGTACAACTACCACTGACAGGCAGGTAAGGCAATGAAAATCAAATTTCCTTTCAAACTTCTGGAACATATCACAAGAACAAAAGAAATGTGAACACAAACTAATTGGCTTTATTTCTTAATTAGATGCTTTAATTTATAGTAAATTACTGTATTTATTCAAAGGACTGATCTTAAAATAATTCTTAATCTCATGCCAAGACATCTGCCTTTAAACAGAAAATTTTACTAGTTTAAGACTGTATACTTACTATCATAGTAAGTATAGAGCTATTTCTTTTAATTAGGAAAAATCATTTCGCCACTGCCTTCCCACTCTTCTTTTTTTAAGCTAGTCAAGTTTTTAAGTTTCATGCAAGGCTTTTAAAATGAAACTAGATAACCCAATGAATTGCCACCATAGCGGTTTCACTCATACTTCATTTTTAAAAGAAATTAATAGAAGGCATAACCAAAGCAATCATGCACAGTTCTGTCAAGAAGACACCAAAACTAAAATTACAGTCTCTGAAAGCCTGATCCACTTTCAACCTGTCTTCAAAAAAGCGAGAAAAAAAAATAATCATAAACCACATAATTTATGGCTCCCAAAGCTTGCTTAACTGAGAGAAAACTAAAATCAGAGTTCTGCTTTGCATTTTCTTCCAAAATTTCATGTACCCATTCACACCATGTTTTACTGCATTTTATACCTAGAGACTCAACTAAAACCTCTTAATACATCTCCTTTCTCAATGTCCGTTCTCATTACTCAGCCACAGCTACTTCAATTAAGCAAGCAGCTGTAGGTATCTCTTGACTCCAGATCCTTCTTTCTCTGAACTGCCAGATTGTCAAAGTTCCTAAATGGCAGTCTTCCCAATGGTTTTCCACCCAATTGTCTACTTCAAGATTCATTTCCCCTGTCCTAAAACCCTAAAATCCTTTAACTAACTCAACTTTTTGCTGAAAAAAGCAGTAATATGATTTATAAAGTAAACATTTTAATTGTTTGATAACTTACATTTGCTTTGAACATGACATTTTACCTTCGAAATGCTCACTTGGCAAGTCAAATATCAATTACAGCTGAAAACATGTAGAACTTAACTCTATACAAAATCAGCCAAAATTCTGAGAGCTGTTAGCTACAGGTATCCCCAGAATAAGGGGTGTTATGGGCTCTTGGCAGCATTAATCACTTGGTGCTTACCCCACAGAATAAGGTGTCTTTGAAAACCAATACCAGCTGAATCACAACCACTGCATCAAAAACGTTTTGGATACAGAATGGAATGAATTCCCCAAGCCTGATGAGTATTATTAACAATGTAATGTAAACCCTAGCACATTACTTCAAAAGCCACTTTTTATCAACAGAAATAAAAAAAAACATTGTAATACCTTTGACCAGTTGATTCTCTTCATTGCGACTTCCAGCTTATACTTTTTCTTCTCCTTCATCCCATGTGGTAACGCTGGTACCACTGGAAAGGGAGCAAAAGGAACACCTCCAAGACCTGGTGGCATTGGAGGCCCACCGAAAGGCGGTGGTGGAGGAGGTGGTCCTGCTCCACCAGGCAGCGGTGGTGGAGGAGGTGGTCCTGCTCCACCAGGTAGAGGAGGAGGTGGAGGTGGTCCTGCTCCACCAGGCAGTGGAGGTGGTGGAGGTGGAAGAGGTGGTGCTGCTCCACCAGGCAACGGAGGTGGTGGTGGAGGTATTGCTCCACCAGGTAGCGGAGGCGGTGGAGGAGGAGGAGGTATTGCTCCACCAGGCAGTGGAGGTGGTGGAGGAGGAGGAGGAGGTGCTGCTCCACCAGGTAGCAGAGGCGGTGGAGGAGGTATTGCTCCACCAGGTAGCGGAGGTGGTGGCGGAGGAGGAGGTACCGCTCCACCAGGTAGCGGAGGCGCTGGAGATGGTGGCGCATTCTCACTTGCTAGGGGTGGAGGTAATGGTACTACTTCTGTCTGTTTATGTGTCAGGACCGGACCCTGAAATATAAAAGAGGAATCCTTTTCATCAGGGGAGGGAAGGAGGTTTAGTATGAAGTTGAACCAGCTAGCATATCTTGTAGTCAACTGTACCTCAAGAAAGTGAGAAATGCAACCATTCTCCTATTTAAATGAGAAACAATAACAATAGGTTATACCATGTACCATAAAACTGCCAAGTAAACTGAATAACCTAGCATTTTTATAAAAACAAATTGTTTCCATTTTAAAGAAAACTTAATAGCAGCAGTAACATTTAAGTGAAAAGAACAGCATTTTATTTCTTACCAATGCACAAAACATTTATCCCACTTAGGCTATCCTGGCACGCTGTGGCATCAGAAATGGTAATAACCACGCTGAATTTTAACAACACTAATCTGCTGGTGGAAAATTTTCCACAGAAATCACTGAAGCAGCTATTGCAGTGCAAGAGGTTATGGGACCACAGCTGTTCATAACTATCCTGACATCTTGTTTGGGGTGGAAAAAATAAAAATAATAATAAAAAAATCATGCTTTTTTTTTTTAAATCTGTCTGCAGTTGTTTCTGTGGTGATAAGAAGAAAGCAATTGCAATATCCTTTCCAGTGAGTTTTAAAAGGAACAATGAAGAGAAACAGCAGCATGTAAAACCACTAGAGAGGTTTCTGTAATGATAACATGATCCTAGCCTAGTACGAATTCCTCACAGATATTTGTCCTTCAAAACTACCTGTTAAAAAGCACCATCAGGAGCTATGCACAAACCTCCATATGAGCTCGTATTCTATTTCCTCTACTAACTTTTTATTACAAAATTATTATATAATATAGGCTGTTCATTTAATCCGATTTGCATGCTATTTCCCTATGCAATTATTTACTGTATCTAGTTCAAAGGAAGCAAGAGTTTGTTAAAAAAAAAAAAAAAAAAAAAGCTGAGAAAAATCTGAGTGCATCTAAAAATAAATGCCACAATATATTGTATGGGGAGCGTAACACTAGAGAAAAAAGGCATAGATACTAGAAGGTTGATGTGTATCACTTTTAGTTGTACCATTACTGTGAATGAGCTGTAATGTTTAGATAATCTGAATTGTGTTAGTATCAATGTAACAGGATTAATAATTAGTTAGACTAAAAATAAATTTTTGCCTTTGCACAAGGCATGGGTTTCTTCAGCCCACAAACTACCACACAAGTTGTAATGCAACAATTGGTGGAGAGCTCATTAAAATAGACTGTCAGATTTCAGTGTGACATTGTCTTGTAGATATTTGAAACAAACACTAAAATTGGTAAGAACGAAGTATGAACAGAAGTGTCTGTGTGTGAAAACAGAATAAGAAACCATAAGACACCACAGGTTACACAAATGACTTGTATTGATAGCAAAGGACACAATGAACAGCAATCAGCCTGTTAAATGCAATGTGACATGCTTACATTAAGATGAGAAGGCCAGTGCTCTGATAAGGCTATAACATAGACAACTTGCCAGCAGAAGACCAGCATCCTGAAAGCAGGGTGATGGCAACCAGGTTATAGCACATCACATGCTATTTTCCCTCTGATTATCCAAATAGGAAGTGAGACCATAGGCGTTAAGATATCCACAATGAGGAAAAAAGGCAACAGGCAGACCTTGCCTGGCATTGAAGGAGTAGGGAATAAGCCAGGCTGAGGCAAAAAGATCAAACCACAGTATCTGTTGGTTCCTAAAGGGTATAAAAGACCTGTCTAAAACCCAATTCATTGTCATTAACAAAAGAAACCCAAGAGAGATTGTGAGGGGTCAACAGGCAGCATTTCTTGTCTTCTCTGCTTCACTAGTGATCCAGGACAGATCACTTGGAGATATAGTTTTGGTGCTTGTGAGCAAAATTCAAGAGGAAATGAACGCAAGTAAAATCAGCTTTGCTGAAATTAAGTATCACATTCCACTTCCGTAAGGTCTTGCATTTTTTATTATATTTACCTATGAGGCTGTATAAAGCTAGTGTAATATTCATTTTAGAAATGGCTACAGTCTGATATCCAGAGTTCAAAAAAAAAAACCCCAAAACCTCATCAGTTGCATGCACATGCTGAAAGGTACGTATATTGTGCATGCACAGCTAGCATGATTTCTGTCTTTGCAATTCAAGTATAAAGCCTTCCAAAACAAACACTTTCCACAAAACATACAGAAGTAGTAATGTTAAAGCATAAATAAGTACTTGAAGAAAAAAAATCTCAGGCTGGATTCAAACTTTTCATAGCCTAAAGAAATTTTTTCCTCAATAAAGCAAGTATCTGTGACAGATGTTGAATATACTACTATTTGAAAAAATGTTACCTCCATTAACTATCTTTAGTAGTTTATGCTGGCTTAAAAACAAATCAATACAACTATAACATACATTTCAAACTCCATAGAGACAATACACTCCTGGGCAATTTCTTTTCAATTCTTAAAAAAAAAATTCAACCATGGAAGTTACTGTGATTTAGTTTTATTACCTGGGTTTGTAGCTGTTTGATTTCTGTTTCAAGTTCTTTGATTTTCTCTTCTCGTTTCTGAAGCTCTGCTTGTGCCTCTTGTCGAGCTGTGAACTCTTCATCAAACTGTAATGATTAACCAACACAGAAGTATTTGTCCATTTATGTCCACACTAGATATTATAGTTTCAGGGATTCTTTGAACAATAGCACAACTAGAGCAATAAATGCACTTTTAATTAAAAAAAAAAAAAAAAAAAAAAAAAAAAAAAAAAAAAGAGTATTTTTCCAGTATGTGTTCTTCTAGTACCACTTAATTTCTTCCATCTGTAAGTCATGACACAGAGCCACTCAGCTCCAGCTACTTAGTACAGCTGTAAGTTCAACAGTTTCCCCCCCCTCAACAGAACACTGAAGACTTCTCAAACTAAACTCGAGTAAACATCTCATGCAGCGAGCTTAACTCTGAAGAGAGATGTGTGCAGCTTCAGCAGTATCACACATAAAGTAACACAAGAAAGGAGGTATCCAAATAAGTTAGTGATCCCTTTAGTCTTGATGTCCCATATAAAACAAAGTCCAGTTTACAACATTATTGTGAGAAATTTGCTGTATATTTTCATCCTGCTACTGTTTGCTAGGCTTAAGAGACTATTAGCATCTTTAAAAGCTTCTGTTATTCATTCTTCCACAGGACAAAACAACATCACTAGGAAGAACATGTGTTGACTGCCACTAACAAGGTACATTATGATAAATAACTCTGCCAGGGAAGCATCATAACAATGTGCTTTCTGTAAAGCTCAGACACCATAACTCCTATTAAAAATGTATCCACATTTACCACTGAAGAGAGAAAACCTAATGACTTCATTCAACCCTTCATTTGAAATTTGTAATCATCATGTTCAAGAATATGTACTGCCTTTTGGCCTGCAAAAGGCTGCTTAGACCAGGCCAGCAAAAATCAAAATTTTGAATGCTTCTAATACACAACAGGGTATATGAACTTTAGTGCTATTTCAGCTAATATAGTATATTCAGCCTTTCATATCCTTAGATAGGATGTGATGAGCTGAGAGTAATGAATTCTCCATTAAAATAATCTAGGAAACAGGAATTTATGTAACTTGAGAAAACATGTTGTATGAAGATATTTTCAGCACAAACATCAACAGTGATAAAGCAGAAGGATAAGCATCAATTTCTTTAGAAATAGCCCCCAAAAATTTTATTACAAGAAATATACTGAGCTGCAATTCTTCCTACAGAAATAATTTTAAATGTCTAACCTCTCCTGTATCTAGTAGTAAATGAAAACTGCCCATGACTGAAACAGGACTTAGTTAGCAAGTTCCTAATAAAAGAGAACTGGACCAGAAGAATAGAACTCTTTGCAAAACAGGTTCCAAAATGCACTGTAAGCTCCCTAAACGTAAATAATAATGAAATAAATTACTCTCCCTCAAAACGTAATTATTTATCATGGCATTATAAGGAAATTAAGCAGTATTTTAATGTTAGCATCTCTGTGCCTAAAGAGTCGATGCTTTTTCAAACACTGAATGACACTGCTTTTCAGTAAGTTTCTTTAGGTTCTAAAAGAAAGCTAGATGAAGAGTTATGAACATTTCCCCCCCATTTTTTTTTTAAGCATATACCTGCACTTTAGGTTTTAACTATGAATATGTATTTCAGGACAAAAAAGCAACAAGTGGAATTTTTCCCATCAGCTATCTACAGCAGAGAAATACAACTGAAGAGATGTACAGCTAATACCGCTCGTCTGCTTTTGAATTCAGAGTAAGCTGAATCTCAGCCATGTACACACACACAGAAAAACCCAAAACCCACAGAAATGCGAAAGAACATCCTGCCTGTGAGAGACACTGTTTCCCTGTTTCCACTAAGTTTCTACTGTGAAGCAAGTCTACTGTGTTCCTGTTAGGCTTCTGTTCCACACCTTAGAAAGAGTGATGATTAGGACTTACCTTTCTGGAAAATTCTGCCGCTTTCTTTTCACTCTCTTCTACTTTAGCTTTGTCCACACATGCATCTAGAATTTAAACAAAATACCACACAGAAGTCAGGTAAAATGTATCACAGCTCTGAGGTGTCTTCCAACCATAATTACACTATGACCCCATGAAACAAAGCAACAGACGAAAAATACAATGAATTACTAGATGGATGTGACCAAACATTTGGTCAATTATTTTGATGACCAAAATCTGTAAATATAAAAAAAGTGGTGAGGACACATGACCAAGAAAATTGAAGATGAATCATCACAGTTGTTCTGTCTCTGACAGATCAGAGTCTGCATGCCCTTCTCTTTTATATGATTCTATTACTAAATAAGAAAAAAGGATTTTCACATTAGTATGAAGTAATAGTTACTTCTGAGGTTTCAAATCGGAAAGCTTCCTTTCCAGATTAGGAATCCAGAAATCAAGCACTTCCTTATTTCATTAAAATTACTTTGTAGGCAAGGAGAATTCAGACAGACTGTGAAGCACAGATTTCTTCACTCAACAATGGTACAAAGCACTTCTATTGACTTTTCACGCAGTATAAAACTGAACACTTTATAAGTCGGGTAAACACAAGTAACTATATATTATAAGTAGGAATTGGCATGGACAGACAAACCAGTTATCCCTAAAACTAGAAGGTCAGTGGAAACAGAAGGCAAGGTGAGGTAAGATCTTAATGTAAAATCAAGTGATCACAGTCTTAGAGTCATAAATGAATAGAAAACACAGAAATACTTCTTAGATATGCGGCATATCTTTTAGAAAGCAATTTCTTTTCCCCCCACAAGGTCAAACTGTACAACACCCTTTGTTTGCTCCTTTTGTCTCATCACCAAAAAAAAAAAAATTTTCCCAAATGAATGTGTTCTCCAAGAGCAATTACTTCCCCTACGAAATATTTACTCAAGATGCCCTTGTATTTCAAGAATACAGTCTACCCCACCAATCTTAAGAAAAGCATAAAACACTTCTAAATGCTGATAACTGCTATTTCAGTGATACAGTATTTATTCAGCTGCTTGTTTCCCACATGACATGAACATCCACAGTCCCTCACTGCTTTAACTGATTAGTTTACCTTAAACTAGCCTCAAATAATTGGAAAATATTACAGAAAATATTCTTAGAATGAACTACATAGCTATTATAAATCCTCTAACAGTTACTGCTAATGTAATTTTTGATATTTTTAACAGACCTGAAATTCACAGAATTTATGAGCAAGCAATTTTTAGTTTTTAAGATTATTGTATTCAGATATAAGTCAAGACAAATTTGGAGAAGTAAACTTCATCAGACTTATAGAATCATGGAATGGTTTGGGTTGGAAGGGCCCTAAAAGATCATTCTGTTCCCACCCCCCCTGCCACAGGCAGGGACACCTTCCACTACATCAGGTTGCTCAAAGCCCCATCCAGCCGGGCCTTGAACACTTCCAGGGATGGGGCATTCACAACTTCTCTGGGCAACCCGTGCCAGTGCCTCACCACCCTCATGGTGAAGAATTTCTTCTTTATACCTAATCTCAATCTACCCTCTCACATTTTATTAAAGGCTGCAGAGCTTGACCTGGCCTTCTCCACAAGTACACCTGTAGCTTACATGCGTATTTCCAGAAAACGGAAAAAATTCACACAGCCAATTTAAGTTTAGAGAGAATCATACAAAGAAAAACATGTGCTTCAGTAAAACAAGGTAAAATTGCTTATAGTATACAAACCAATAAGATGAGTAAAATCCACATCCATTCTTCCTCTACATTTAAAATCCGGGTCCATGCCACTTGAGTGCAATACTATCTGCGATACGCATTCTTCTATTATCTTGTAATATTGTGGTCTAACAAAGAAAACATTTCATAAGATAATAAGAACATGAACAATCATTTATGCAACATGGAGGAGGAAAAAAAGGGGCAACTTTAACTCCTAATATATGAATTATACAACTACCAGTAAAAGGATCAAGTTAAAAATCTTATTTGTACTCTGTCTAATGAAGCACTGTTGTCAATTTATCAGAGGGATATCTGAAGTTCAGGACTCCACAAAATACGGTGCACTTTTCATTTATCCTTTGCCAAACAATAACCAATAAAACAAGCAATGTCTTTAGTATTTTCAATATATGCTGCAAGAATTATTTAGCGCATTCTCAACACCATGAATTCCATCACTGGCAAAAGTACCAATTACTTAGAAAATAAGTTAATTATTAACTTAATTGCTTGATATACGTCTCTACACAACAACATCAGGAACCCCCAAGATGAGGAGAGTCTGTTCTCAAAATTATTACCTCTTACCAGTGCAAGGTATTACATCTCAATTTCACATATCATTGAGCTCTCAAAGTAGGAAACCCTCAAACCTAAATTGATGATATTCTGAAATTTCAAATTTAAAAAAAAATTATAAAAATTGAAGATTTCTCAGGTTATATTTTACTCCTTAATTTTATAATCTTGCATATCAATTGTTTTTATCATGCCTTTGCAACAAAAATATTACTTCCTAAAACAAGATTTTGTATCTGGTACTTTGACACCGCTAAGACATTATGAGGTGCACATAGGAGAAGCTTGCATTGAAAAGAAAAGATATAAGGCACTGTGGAAGTATTTTCAGTTATTAGTTGTGCAACTAATTTTCAAGTTCTTTGAAGTCATGAAGCTATCAAACTTGAATATAGGAAAAAGTGCTCAACAAGAGGTTTTGGGATAAGAGTGTTAGGATAAGGTTCAAGTCTTTGAAATAAGCATTATTATAGTAAACAAGATCGTTTCAATACTAACATTGAGCAGAAAGACAAATAACACATCAGTTACACAGCAACTATTCATGTGTGATTATGAGCTACTCAGTTTGCCAGCATCTTTATTTCTATTCTTCCCCCTACCCCCTCCGAAAATCAAACCTGACAGCTGACACTTACCGGACATAGTAATCACTCCTGATGAGAAGGAAATGTTGGAGAATTGACAAGAAGTAATTTTCAGAAGAAGTATCTTTTAGCATATTATACAGCAGATGAAATACTTCATTCACATCAGTACAAACATTGTTAAGGAAATACAAGGACTTAAAAAACAAAAATTAAAAATAACAAACAAATGAAGACAAAAACCCCACACTACACAACAAAACACCCACCCCAAACCCAGTTTCCTAGATGTTGTTCATGTTGTTCAAGTAAAATCCTTCAACACTCTGAACTACTATCCTTATTAGTAAATATCCTCTTTCCACTAAGATTATCCACAGAAACATATTTCAAACAAAGCTTTCATTTTCATTCTGAAGTGAGCCAGGCTATTCCTAAATACACACTAGTCAATCATTATAATTTCTTAAAGAAAATTACCTGTAATTACCTGTTCTGTAATGCAACAACATTACTTGTTAGTGATTTTATATTCCTCTCATTTATTGAATCTACCTTCCCCTGCTTCATAAGCATCAGCTACTACTCTTAAAAACTGCAAGCAACCATTCTGAACTTAGGTAACTTTAAATTTACTGCTTCTTCACAACTAGAGAAGGCATTCATCTTAAGTGTTTCAGAACCTACTAGAAATTTTGTTCCAACCTAGTTATCAAAACTCATTTTTCTTCAAACGTATAATCTTCCATGGGTGTAATTTTATATCTTCATGTATTACAAACCAGAGTTTAGCTTAGTAAATGTTATTTATGAAAAATTAATTCCATTCCCTATGGCTTACATTTGACATGCAAATTTAAGCACTAATTTTCTAAATAAGTTTTTAACAAAAAATGAGTGGAAAGAAATTGGCTTGAGAAAGTCCCGGGTAAGATACACAACTGTGACAAATAAACTGCACGTAGAGCATTCTAACTTACATTTAATAAAGTTATTAAACGAGGCAGCAAGTTATAACACCATTTCTATAAAGGATATTCCATTTCAGCTCTGATATCATTGAGACGATGTGACAGTTCAATTAAGTCTTCTTCTTTGTTCTCATCAAACACTTTCAGCTGAATATCAAGCTCTTCATTATCCTTATCTTTCAAGCCCTATTTTTCAAGGCATAGTATATCTTAATTTTCCCTTCTTTAAAGCAAGAATTCCCCCCCTTCAAAGATTGTATCATGACAAAATATAAGACATTAACCTTCCAAACAGAAGTTGTAACACAGTGCCTGGGGTTTTTTATTATGATGCACAGCTGAGAAAAATTAAGGCAAAATATCAGCGAATATAGCAGGTATAAACTAAATGGCAACTGTGCATGTTCCCCCAAAAAGTAGAGGCTTATACCAATTCTAATGTTTGAAAACCAGAGAAGGCTACTGTGAATCTGGGCAGGTTAAGGGAAAGAAATATGGATCCTCCCTCCTCCTGATTGTTCTTTGTTCAAGAAACTCTCATTTATAAATTTCTTGCAAATTTACCCTTAAGCACAGATATGAGCATAAAGTCTTCTTAAGATGCTTTATCATTAAGAAAGTTGCTTTCTAATGCAAAAAAAAAAAATCCTCTACCTTGGACATTCATTCCCTGCACAATTAATGATCTGTGTATGTTGTAATTAATACCTTACAAATAAACAAACAGCAAAATGGTTTGACTATTTTAGTTGATATTACAGCTTACATGAAATATTAATTAACCTTACTACAGACAGAATTTCAACACAATAGCTGTTCAACATTTTTAGAAAAGAGTGTTATCACTAAACATTAATTGCTTTTAAACTCATATATCTGTATGTCAGTACACTCTACAAAGTTTTATATCATGATTTATTACAATTCAGTTTATTTGCCACCTAACCCACCCCCAATTCTTAAAGTTTTTAAGCATTTGTTGATTGTGTAAACTAACTTTCAGTAAATAAGAAAAAAGACCTAAGAGTTCTTCAGGCTTTCAGATGTTTTACAACAAATAAAGACAGTAGATCACGTTAATGTATCTACATGATATAGAACCTAAATGCATACCTTAAAAACAAAAACAAAAACACCAACAACATACACACACCAGTAGCAGTTTCAAAGCTGAATGTGCTAAAAAGTGAAGGTTTTTATTCCTGACAAATGTTGATGATTCAACACTTCATATCTTAAAAGTTATAGTGGTATAAATTCTGTTTCACAAAAATATAAGAAGGTACTCTTTAATTTCTCTCATCTTTTGTGAGAAACTGCTGAGTAGCTTAATTATACATATTCTTGATGTAAGCATCAGAGTGATTTCTTGGTTAAGAGCTATAAATCTACCCCTAAGTCACAGATATTCATACACATCTACCCATAAAGGCATACTTCTGTGCAGCTGCATGAAAACATGCAGTCTCAAAGAGAACAAAGGCGTCGATTTGATTTTTCCTTAAAAACTCCAAAAGCATTTTCAGAAGGCAGATTAAAGAAAAACACATTTCACAGAAAACAACAGGAACGGTATGTACAAAGAAAGCTAATCCAAGATTGGTTCCACAGCCAGACTCACGTTCACTGCATATGCTTTGAGCTCATTATGCTGAATTTAACTATCCTAATTTAATTTCTAATATATTGACTTGTTTCAACTACCATTCTGGTTTACATAGCTAATGAGAGCCTAAATTTGCAACTATGCAGAATGAAAGCAGATTTGGATGGATAGTCCTTTCCAGGTCTGACCTTCCCCATTCCCAATCTTTGACATCTGCTACTCTCAGTAAAACAATTTGGTTATCTTCAACATTCACAAACAGTTGACTGTGATCAATTCCTATATACACACGACTTACAGGCAGTATCTTCTTCAAGCCACAACGTAAAAACTCATTTCTCAAGTGTATCCTGAAATCAAGATCTTCTGGAGACGTAACAAGGGCATTGATGAGCTGCATACATGCTACCTGTTATCGGAAATACAGGCAAAAACTTTTAGTATGTACAGAATGAAAATAAATACTGTCTTTAACTATTTCAGTTTAATTATAAAACCCCATGCAAAAAGATGGATAGTATTTATTATGTGGCACAGATACAACACTTGACTTTTTAAATTTAAGCAACATCAAACACTGCTGTTTTCATATTGTGAGTGCTTCTATGTCAAAATTGTATCACATAAAGGATCGTACTTTGTTTCAGAAAGTTATTCCCACACTACAGTTCCACACTGCAACTCCTCCTTTCTCCTCAGTATTCGCCAATTTGAAAACAACCTGGTTTTACAGTAATTGAAAATTTTAAAAAAAAAAAAACAAAAAACAAAAGAAACCAAAAAAACCCCGCAAAAAAAACCCACCCCAAGAACACCCATACACAAAATAATTCACATCACCAGGTGTCTTCTATTTCTGCACAGCACTTTTGCAAAATGCCTGAAGTCTCAGGATACTGGCTAATGCTGTAATTGAACAGCTGTGCACTTTAATTGATTTATTTTAAAACAGGTAGACAATAGCATAATGCCAAAAGTGCTGATCCACGTTAAAGACTAAAATGGGACTCCAGGGAAATACGAAGTTTGGTAAAAGACGTTAACCGCAAATAGAAGTAGCATTAGAGTAGTAAAAATAAATAAATAAAAATCAATAGCTGCAGAGCAAAAAAGTCAGATAAAAGCACCCTTCCTGGTTTAATTACATTCACTATTTAGTTTTAATGGAGCACCTTATGGAGTCTTAAATTTCTATTAAAACACTATTTCAAAGGCACTCCCTTTATATAGCTGCATCTTCAGATAACGTAGTATCATCATGCTCGCTTGAACGATTCTTGTTATTTTACTACTATGACATGACTTAACAAGCCAAAGTACATGTCCAATCTGAAATTAATAGAGAGAAGAGGTGCCATCTGCTATGATTGCTTTTGCCAGAAGAGAATCTGGCTTAATGGCTTGTGCTAATACATTACACGTAAAGAATGATTTTGTCAGAAGCAAGTTAATGAGTCTTGCAATTGTACCTATACTGACGTATAAGTGAGCTTTCGGGGCGGGGAGGAGAAACGTCGTATGCTTGTTTTTGTTTGTTTTAAATCAACAAGGTCATAAAGTAGGAGACAACTTCACAATGAATTCTTTTGTGATAGCATAACAGAACGTCATTTATAGAAACTTACTGAACATCATTAACTCATCAGCTCTGAAGCAAGAACTACTGATGGTAAACATGGCGTTAAGACAACTATAGCTGACACATATATGATCTAAAAATGGAAAAAGGAATACCTTCCATGCAGGTATACCTGCCCTGCCTGCATTCTACTTTCCCATATCTTTCAGCCATGGTACCTTAGCAATACAAAATTTGTATAGATACTGTATTATGAGAAGGAAATAAGTCAAAGTCATCGTTTAGTAGGATATTCAGCCACTTGGTCTCTATGCAAACACTTGCAGTTACCAAAAAAAAAAAGCAATTAAAAAAGCTTGCATTCTAATAGCAACCAAATCTCTTGGGCTTTTCAGGTGCATACAGAGAATAAACAACTCTATCCACTGACGCATAACCAGCAATGAACATGGGACACGACTCAGTAAAGATCACTGGCACAGAAGATTATTTTATTATTTTATAAAAATAATTTTAAAATATCACTAGATTATCCCTAGAGATGGGAGATGGACACCAATGAATGCACAGTTCTCGCTGACAGAAGTAGCAACGATATCCTGCTGCACACTACTAATCTCATATGGTACCCTGCCAAAAAAGGACACACCCCATCCACACGTCATAGTTATTATATATCTGAACATTTAAGAGGCTGCATATACTGCTGCCGAAAGTCCCAGCAGCAGTAACACAGCTGCATGTATATCTTAAAGGTTTCTTAGAAATGGAAGAAATCTGCATGCCTATGCTAAGGAAACAGTGTTACATTTTATAACAGAAGGACTCAAAAGGACAGGTTAGCATAAGAAGTAAATTACTACACTCTGCCCACGAGGCAATAGCAGTGTAGTTCCTGAAGTAATTCTTTTCAATACATGACTTTGTTTGAAATCTAAGCACTCCTTGCACAAAGACAGTTACATTAAGCCATACGTCTATCTTCAGGTGACTATAAAGTCAGTACACTGAAGGTGAAAGCTATAAAAAGGTATTCTTGACACTGATCAGTTTTGACTGTGGCTTATTTCTGTTTAATGTAAGAGGATGGCTATGTTGAATGACACTGAGCTTCAAATATCTAAAACTAGCAGTTTTACTTCCACTCAATTTACTTCTCATATTATTAAATGATTAATGAATTATCATTGTCCTTGTGTCATTAACTTTTCAAAAATGGTCAACCATTCAATTTACCAGAGATAGGCTAGGATTTAACTTAAATTGTCATTACCAGGGAGAATGACAAGTTACCAAAAATCCTTCATAGCCAAATAAAACTTTTGACTGCAGTTCCCGGAAAATTTCAGTACAAAAAAACCTCTTCAAAATACTTAACTATTTTAAAAAGATCTATGCTTATCTATTTCTTTATTCAGTAATATTACAGAAAGGTGAACAATACTGGAAGTATGTTCCTGCCACAGGTACTTCAAACAGTACAGTATATGAAGTGTGTGCTCAGTTAAGGCATTCCAGTTGTGGTTCTAAATTAAACTCAAATACTCACTTCAAGAGCACAACACAAACTTGTTCTGTCTTTTTACAAATATATTACTTTCATGGAATCAGTTCACAGCTATAAGCACCGGACTTTTTGTTTACTTTGGGTGGGGCAAGAGCTGGGGTGGTGAGGGGGGAAGGGGGTGCTTAAGCAAGCAATGCAACTTGGAAGTACTTTTTCATGCTTCTTCCCCAAATCCAAAAGATACACAGGGAGCACTGCCTCCAGTTCCTTAAACTCCAGCCTCCTCTGGGCTCCAGTAACAGTAACTAAAACACTCCAGAGGACAGACTGAGAGCTAGATTTCTGTTGGTCCATTAAACACCACAAAATTCCTGATCAAGAAGACTTAAGCAGTGACAAAGATAATAAAATGCTTTCACAGACTTATTACCTGAGCATTACATCTGGCATTCATGAAAAGGAATATCACTAATTACTCTCTTTTTATTAAGGTCATGACTTTTTAATCCTATTTTTGGGACAAGGAAGTGAGTTTCATTGTTTCACACCATTAACAATTAGAAAATCTAGTATAGCAGGCCATTTCTATTTATTTTTCCTCTTTTACTGAACACTGGAGTAATAGCACTAAAAGATTTTGCTGGTTAATAATTTAAAGATCATAAAATAATATACAGTCTTCTAGTATTTTAGATTATTTCTGAAGTATTAGTAAGCATATAAAAAGTAAACCCACCTGCAGTTGTAAGAATTCATGGTTTTCCAGTCCTTCAACAATCTGAGAAAAACGTTCCCTGTTGTGCCTTTCAGCAGCAGTTGTTATAGCACCTAAAAGCTTGTCCAGACTAGGAGAAAGATAAACTGTCAAAAAGCGTACCACAGTCAACTTTCTCATTTTAAAGATACTTAGCCCACTATTTACACAACTCAAGACTTTAGCGCACTGACAGAGAAGCTGAATGCATTTATCTATACTTAGCTATATAAAGCTGAAAACAAGCCAAGAACCAACTGTTAAAATATCTACAAGAATAATGTTGAATTAAAAAAAAAAGGTAAAAAGGTGAATAAATCTCTAAATTGTTGTGACATTCAGCTAGGAAACAACCAACGGGGAAGGGGAAAAAAAAAAAAAAAAATCACTACTTTTGCATGACTGTGCACTAGGTACTAGCTGACACGTTTAACATATGGGAATTATAATAAATTGTCTTTTCAGAAATAAAAATGTTTTTATCTATTTATTGCATACAAGACAGAGTTTGCCATTTTTAACCTTCAGTAAACTAAGACACTCAATAATTCAAAGCAAACATATGCCACCTGATTATCTTTGTTTTAAAAAGCTCATGGGCATGTGCTACATAACTCCATAACTTAAACTATTCAAAACTTCAGCTATAAACGTAAACTTTTTACCCCTTTCAAATTTGGTATGTTTAGGTAGAGTTGATATTTTAATAAAATCCATAAATATATTTATTTCTATATTATTAATATGATCTTCTAAACTAATGAAAAATCTTAACGTGGTGTCAAATCAGTAAATTTCAAATATAAGTAAGTTCATCTCCCCTCTTCAGGGAAGATGTCCCAATCTCAATCCTCCCCACAGTAATAGGCTCAGTAGTGCCCCATGCTAACACACATTGTTCTAAATTGTCTTTACATCTGACAGCTTTCCTTGTGGCAATTAAAAGTTCACAATTCCTGATCATACTCATCAGGGATACGTGAAGTAACATATATTCTTTTTTTCAGCAGCCATTTATGAACTGTTATGGCTCACTAAGTCTTCTCTATAGTAAGCAATCGTAGTCCTTTCAGACCTTCTGCTTAAACCACAGTTTGTAGATCTCTGTTCATTTGCTTTTGTCTGATGTAATACCGGATTAATGCATTAGAACAGGTGAAAGTCTGTTTTCATTTAAACTACATTAAGAAAGTAAAGACTTAACAGGTTACATTTGTTTCACTGACAAGTTCTCTCACCTGTGTCCAAACTGACAACTCATGAGCACTCAAAACAAATGTTTTTGTTTCAATATCATACTTACATATTTTCCTCTCCAACAATGCAGAGGGCAGAAAGTATTTTCACCGTTTCGGTCATCATGTGTGGTTGCTTTGGATCAATTGCTCTTGATAACAGCAAGAGACTTCTTTCATCTCCCAGAATCCTTTGCAAACCGTACTTAAAGAAACAAAAAGCTTAAGTGAAAAGACTGTAATTGCCTTGAATAATCATCATAACCTTTGGGCTTCAGATCCTTAGGAATCCTCACACCTCCTCCCCCCCACATGAAGTTTGGCAACACTCTACTAAAACCTTCTGGCTGTTACCGCTTGGGGTAACAAGTCAGTCTTCCCAATCTTACATTTGAGGCTTTCTCCTAATAAAGAGAGAGAGTCAGCTCCTAAGGAAGATACCGTGTCTTGTAAAATCAGGTATCCACCAAAAGACAAACTAGTTTTTATTTTCTATCTATATCTGGAACACCTCAACAGTATGAAAAATTTGTTCATGTTTTTTTTCCTGTAACTGTAACAGCTCCTGGCAAGTCGAAATAATATTTTCCACACAATAACTGATAGAGGTTGAAATTCTTTTTTGAAACAACTGTCTTATTTATTGTATATTCTATTTCACTTTCTGTACAGCTAAATCAAAAAAAATTACACATTGGCATTTATTTAAAAGTAGCATTATTTTTCTTTTTCATTTTCATTAACTACAGGATAGTTGGTAAATCACATATCTAATTGTTTGAAGTTACAGTGTAAGTGTAGGAATAGCCAGGGGGAAGCACATCACCATTTAAGTTTACTTTTCCCGCTTCATCAGACAGGCTATTCTGTAAGCGAGATTACACTAAACTGAGTAACGGTAGTTAAAAGTAACTTTAATGCACAGTTATATTTGTTACGGGTGGGGGGGAATAAATCATTATAACAACACTTCAGATTTTGCCATGAATAAAGCAAAATTACAATTTTAACACATTAACTTCCAGAAGCAGTACTCGCGCTTTGTGAACACGAGTAACCCATGTTAGAAACAAGTTAGATACAACTTAAACTAGACCAAAGTTTTATCCTTTACCCACTACCTACCAACTTAAAAACTGTAGCTAAAAAGATATTAAATCATACTTGATTTAAAAATCAGGTGAAAAGTACATTATATTAACAAAACCAATCATGTATTGAAAGCAGGATTTAGAAAGAAATATTTTCCTTTCAATTTCACAAGCAATTAATTTCCTAATTCACTTACCTTAAATCCATACTATCATCCTCTGTTTGCCAAATATTTTACTTCCAAAAATCAATAATATTTAACAAAACTAAGACAAAATGCATATTCAGAAGGCTTATGAATAAGACTCTCAACAAAAAGTTACACTAAGTTTATGATTTGCATTTCCAAAGAGTCAGCTGACACTCAATATACAAGCTTTCCTTCCTTTTCTGAGATTCAACATGCTACATAGATCTTGAAGTCAACCAAAAACAATCATGCTAGAAGTATCTGAATTTAAAATATTTCTTACTTTATTGTTCATAAATGCTCTGAGGCACTGGATAAGTTTATGTTGATTCTTCTTATCGATACTTTCTTGCCTTGAAAGGGAGGAGGAAAATAACATAAGTACAAACAATCCTCACAAGCTCCCCCACCCCTCCCTTCAAAAGGGAGTACCAAGTACTTACTGTTTCTTGTCCAGAAGCTTTTCCAACGCATCCAACAGAAGTCCAAGACCTTCATGTCCGAAATTGTTAACCCAGCTGGAAAAAGGAAGAACAAATCCTTTTAATTATTTCTTAATCAAATGTAAAACTTGCAAAGTCATGTCTCCAATACTGCCTGCACATCTCCTCACAGACACTGCTTTAAGTCTCACTTCCCAGGAAGACCTGATCAACCATTAAGACAACTGCTTAGTTCCAACAACTAGAAATTGTTGAGAACCACTGTGAAGGTGAGAAGACACCACAGACAGCTGCAAAAATACCCTTTTCCAGTGTGCTGTCTCATGCCAACAAGTATTAGAATAATTACTCTGGTTTTAAAAAAACGCCACAATTCTTTATTGCTAAGCAAAACCAGCATGATGAAAACTACAGCAGAAACTATTACTTACCTGACTGGATTGCTAGTTAGAGACACTCTCAAAGACTCTAGACAATTAAGCAGCTTTTCCTCTGAAATTCCAGATCGTAATTCATGAATATATTCTTGCGAGGACAGTGTGCATTCATGCTTGCTGTTTTTCAGTCCACCCTATCACAGAAGACAGAATGCTGCTTAATGTTATATTAATCACAGTAGCGTTCAGATGATAACATGTAAGGCCAGTATTTCTGCGTGAATTTGAAGATCACTGTTTGCCCTGTACAAATTAATTAAAGACACCTGACTTGACTTTGATTTGTCATAAGTGTTTAATAGTTTAGGTTTTGCATCACAAGTGTAAATATTTTTCTGGAATCTTCTTCACTTCTTTGAGTAAAGTGCACGTACTACATCTTGGATACAAAAATTTAATTCCATCATTCAGTTGTATTAACATGTTTAACAGCTACACACTCTCATTTAACATCTACTTCACACCACCATAGTAGAAACAACCATAAACAGAGACATAAAAACCCCCATACTTGTTATTAAGCCTGTCTGATCATTCCCACTGTACCTGTCTTCTGTTTCAAAAAAGCTGTGCATTACCACTATGGACATATCCTGACTCTCAAATTAATTCTCCCTTCTACAAAAGAAAGGAAGAAGATAAGCCACTGAAAGTGACTTTGAAAAGGAGCTGGTATCCGCTAGCTGTTAAATCAGTGTTTTTAAAATCATGCAACTGCATGACTCAGTGATTTCTTGCTATACCATAATTCCATGTTTGGCCACTAATAGAGATCTCTAAAGGATCGTTTGCTATAAAAGAATCACATGGAAGATTTGACAAAGAGCTCATCTCCCTGCTGAAGCGTTACAGAAGAATAACTACCTACAAGGTATTTCAGTATTAAAACACCTGATAATCAGTTTTTACAGCTGTAATATTCAAAACCACGAACAATATACAAAACATTTTACCAAAGGGTGCAGCTAATCTTTTGTACAGCTCTGACAAGCTGCAGAAAAGTAGGCTTATCTCAGAAGAGTGGTTGTGATTAGTATGCAGTTCCTAAAGCTCCTCAGCTCTAAATGGTCTATGGAAGAGAACCTGTTAAAGATGTGTCATGTATGTAAAGGTAATGTGAAAAGTGCCTGACCTAGAATATGACTTATATGTATTTGGTTTTAATTGTATCAGGAAGTTCTCTGACTACTGTAATCTTCTAATTGTCTCTCTTTCAAAAAGTTACATTTTTTATGAAGTTTCTGGTTTGCTCTATTCAAATTCTTACCGTTCATTTTCCAAAAATGGCGCTATGTATGGCTGATGACAAAATGACTTGCCAACATTTAAGTTAATGATTTTTGACCTACATACATTCCAGTACTAATTCATATAACAGAACTATGTAAATGTTCACAATGTATTTTCAGATTGTTTGTCCTTACCTCAACAAAACAAGAACCTAACGCAGATTGTGAATGCATTAAGACAACAGTGTCCTCTGGACTATGTCAACTCTGAAGACGTTTCTTGCTGACATGCATAGCACCTTTAGCTGGACAATGCATGCCAGTTACACATTGAAGGACCAAGACAGACATAAAGATGAGTAAATAGGATATAAAGGAACTCCAGTCTGTCACTATCAACCTCCTGTACAAAGAGATGCTCTTCCACCAAAGGAAAAAGAAATAAACAGGTGGAGGTTATAGGAGTAGGAACTGACTTTTCATCAGAAAAGTATATTAGCACTACATATTAAAAACCATAATAGTACAGAAAAAAATCATGCTGAAAGACCATAAGATAAAGAACTAGAAAACAGGAACACCTTTAGAAGACAGCTTTAGAAGTTTTTTTAAACAAGACCAGTTCATTGCATTGGATGGAAACCAAAAAAGATTATATGGGTAACTAATGTACACCATCTACACAGTACTGGAGAGAGTTTTTGTCATTTTGGACAACAGCCGTTCCCAAAACCCTAAGAGTAAAAGAAGAAAACAGAGGCACTGCTGTAAGCCACAAAATCTATAGAGAGATGAGATAATGGAAACTTCAATCAAATACCATTACATGTTAAGCTAGACCCTGAAAAACACTCTAAAATGCAAGATGTATTTGTTTTTCCAAAAATATTATTTCCTGTGGTTAGTCCTTCCACTGTAGTCTGCTGCAAGCTCCAAAGGAGATAACTATTCAGATGAGGCATTTAAGGTCCTTGCTACATTTTCTTTCATATTAAAACCAAGGTGTGCTCTTGCTGGCCCCTGTTTCTATGCATCCAGGACATTAGTGAGGCTCCTCTACTCTGTCTAGCCCCTTGTTTTCAGAAGACCTCCAACTGCCTCAAAAACAGTTAAACTAGGTTAAGAGTTAGAGGAATTGGCAGCATGATCTCCTAAGCCTCCTCACCTTAAAGGACAGGCATACTTTTCCATTGTATGACTAAGCATCTTTAACTGCATACCAATACAGAACCATTTCTTCTTGGTTTTTCCCCCCCCCGCCTCTTCAAAACAGATGATCACTAAAGGTGGCTCATAAAAATCCATTCTCAAAACTTTTCACCCAAATACTCCAATTCATGCTAGAGAATTCTCAGCTTAACAGGATTACTTTCTGTTGTTTGCTGCAATTAACTTTTCAGTCTCAATCCACTCTTACTTCTAGCCATACTAGCTGGAGTGCTACAACCAAGTGCTATTTCTTTTATTTCCCCTATTCAAAGAGAGTTTGATTCGAATACTATTTTTAAGTAATGCTAAGCATGGATCAGATTCTAATATATACACTTCTCATTTACTCGGAAGTACAAGGTCTCAGTGAAAGTTATGCTTTATGTGAGAGCATCTAATAAAGACAACGGCAAAAATGAAGTCCAAAGAAACTCACAAGGTTAGGTCCCACACCAGAACTTTCAGAAATTAAATCAATGCATAAGATCAAAAATCTTATGACCAGTCACCTTTACAGTATTACAATTAAGGCATAGAATTGTTCATTCATGACAACTCAAATGAAAGCCTGGACCACACATTTAAAATCCTTCTCTGAGGAAGTTAGAAGTGATGAAGTTTTAGTGAAAAACTAAGCTTAAGGAAACTCCTGGAAGTCTCACAAAAAACAAGTATATAAAAGAAAACCTAGCTTGCTTTCCCATTAAGGAGGTAAATCTAATCAATTCAAACCTCTGTGTAGCACACATTTCAGGGTTTAAGGGACAACAGTGACAGAGAGACAGGACAGACACCTTACAGTGCAGGATATAGTGAGAAATAAACTTAAGCATAGTTTACGCAAACTTTTTTTTTATATTTAGAAAACCAGGCAACAATTAAATATTTTAGATATTTTTATTTCCATTTATCTACTGTGACTCCAGGTGATTTCACAGTTGCTAGCTAGACAAAGAAATTCCTCACCCAGGACCTTCATAAATATTAGAAGGGACTTAGCAAATGTCCAGCTTTATACACTACTTAGATGTGCCACCAGAGGCCTGTAAACAAGCTTGAGAACCAATATCTAACAAAATGGGAAAGTAAAAGCATTCTCCCATCCATGGGGAATAAGCAGATATTCTATCTACTTGGTGGTAAAGAACTGTGGAGCACACCTGAACCAAATGGATGGGCTGTAACAGTTAAAATACAAGATCAGAAAAAGCTGCACAAACTACTTCTCTTTGAGGCACCAGACAATTCAGACCTCATTAGGTCTTAAGCTAAAGCCAAGTTCAGCTGAAGAAGTATATTGCTTCCATGAGACAGCGTTTACTTCAGTGAGAATGCTGGCAGCATTGAATAGAAATCTGACAGTATCATAGGTGGCTGCTTCTACCCAATTCACTATACCGGTTCAATAATTTAGGGGGGAAAAAAAAAAAAAAAAAAAAAAGTCTTTAGACAAGTAACTGGTACCAGCATAATTATTAAAGAAGTGGAAGTAATAACTTGTCTCTCCCTGCCCTCCCCCCCCAGTGACTAACTGAAGAGTTTTTGCATACTCTCTATTTATACAATTCTGTTTCTATCACAAGCAAAGAAACCACTATATTTTAATTAGAGTATAACAACAAAGCCATATAAGACAAGTTGTTTGGGGGAGGTGGAGGTGGTTTGTTTGTTTTTAGGAAAGCAATAGAAGCATTTTCAGTGATTTTTTTTTTTTTAAACCACACATACTCTAGTTGTTGCACATTTGACTTGGAGAAGCAGTATCCTTGCTCAAGCTATGAGGAAACACCCTATCAGCTCCTGAACTAGCAATTTGAGGTTTACACAGTTCATATCCACTTCACCCTGTAGATATTAGTCGAACACATTAATTCAATCCATTAAAAACAGAACTAACAAACTAATCCTATTTTAGACATCTATATTAATGCCTTACAGATACACAGATGCGCAGCTGCCATTTCAATGCAATTATCATTGTCTATAAAAGCAAGGAAAGGTTACCTTGCAGGCAGCTAAAATGACAAGTGGGCACCAGTGCTTGAGATCCCAAGTAAAACTCAAATAAGTTAAAGCTCTAAACTCCCCATTAACAGGCAAACCTCTTCTCTGCAATTGTCACTACAACCCAACAGACATCAACAGCCCAAAATTCTTCTCCTTCCAAACCATAGTAAATCTGTAAATCTTCAGGAAAATAACTACGTATGCCAGCAGATGCAATCAACTCCAAAGGGATGAATCCTATAAAAACATATACTGAGAAGATGGACACCAAGATGCATGCATTCTTTAAGCAATAAGATGCAGAAGCCATACTCTAACAGGGATATTTCCTATTTTACTATTTTGCAAGTTATCTGTGCAAAAACGTGCTTTTAATGAATAACTATGCTTGTTCTCCATCAGACTCCGAATCAAAAAGGCATGGGAAAGAAAACAGATATTACAGAGTTTCTCCACTACCCATTCTGGCATATACCAGTTTCCTTCATAAAATCATCTCTTTGCAAAGCAGCTGTTCAGGCTAATTCATATCATAAGGAAATTACATGGCATTTTTTTTTAATTATCTGAAACAGATTTTAACTGGTTTAACTGGAGAGTTAATAATTTTTCCCCTCAAAAAATCAAATACCTTTAAATACCTTAATTGTGCTTATGTACTTTCTCAATCAGCATACGAACCAGTACTG